AGAAAGAAAGAAAGAAAGAAAGAAAGAAAGAAAGAAAGAAAGAAAGAAAGAAAGAAAGAAAGAAAGAAAGAAAGAAAGAAAGAAAGAAAGATACATACTGTTCCCATTAACTCCTGTGAAAATGGTGATGGCAGCTGCTGGCCCCATGAGGTCATCCTTCAGGCTTGGATGGAGGATACAGGTCTGTACCCCCCATACTGACCCCAAGCCAACTCAGAGAGAGCAAAGACTGATTGGAAGAAAAACAGAGAGTGGGTGAGCCCCATTTATCTGTTCAACAATGTGCAGACTTTGTAATTAAGCCAATCACGATCCTGGATAAATCCCATCTCCCGTTCCCTCAATCCAACAGCAACCGCACAGATCCATCTGGATGGTTGGGAAAACGCTGTGCTGGGGTCTGTTTGTGGTTTCTGTTGCAAACCAAAGAGGCAGAGAGGAACACGATGCCAACCTGTTAGTAATCAGACCCAGTGGCTTATTAACTGCATTTAGGAAAATATAAAACACAGTCGCATATCAATTAATTACATCATACAGTACTGTGGGTTTGGGTTCACACCAAAGGAACAGACTTCCTCTTTATATTCACCACTTAAGGATTGATTTTGATGGTGCTGAACTTTAATCTAGTTAGGAATAGCACAAATGTGTTTAGCCTTACACCCAAATCACAGTGGGCTTAGAAAGAGACTAAATCATCCATCCTGAGCTTATAGATTTAGTTTAATAGTTGCTCAAATGTAACTTAGATTACAAACTCATCTTTTATGCTATCTATATATCTTTTCAGTCCAAATGGTGAAGCAATTCTTCATGTTGCATATCTTGTACTAAACTAAAAAGTGTCCAAATCATGTGGCATATAATAAGGGGCTTTTGTTTTGGATTAAAGGCTGATTTAGGAGTAGAGTTTTAATAACCTTGGGATTGCTGCATGGATTTTTGGGTTTCTTGTCCTGAGGTTGCCCATACGAGGTTTAGTATTTACATCAGCTGGTCTTTGTCTTTGTGTGCATGTTTATTTATGCCCCCCCCCCCCCCCCACCCCGTTTGCTTTAACTGTAAAATCTTCTAAATCCAACATGTTACTAAAATGATAACAAGATATTTTTCTTTTAAAAAAATAAAAACTAAAGGTCTTTTATATATATTATAAATGAGAGCTAATAACTGGGCCGTCTTCCCTGCAACTTGCTCTAATATTGCAAAAAAAAACAGCAACACAACAGGTTTATTGCTTATTCTAATGAATACTTTCTGATTTCAGTTCACTTTATGGAAAACGGATTCCTTTTTCTTTGTTT